AATGAAGGCTATAGGTAGGAGAATAAATCGTGGTGAAGTTTACCTCCGAGATTATTGGCCAGTAGGGTTAAGACAGAGATAACACAAGCAATGCGGAATAATAAACTGAAGGTAGCAAGGGAAGCGAAGTCAAACCCAAGGGATTCTTCAATATGTATTAAACTAAAACATGGGACATGATTGGATCAATACAGTATGATGCCGGCGAACTAACTAATAATGACGAAGAAATGGGGAGTAATCTGGACAGATATTTTCCACCAATTTTCATAACCGAGGTGCAGGTCTGGATGTTGTGACCTCCTTTCATCCATCCATTTTTGGGGATTTCTGGCCACGTCGCCTTTCGGCTATTTCGGCCGAAGCTGTTTTTTTCCACGGTTATTTTCTTTCTGGCTCTTCCTTTTGTTCTTTTTGCTTTTCACTCTCCCTATTTCTTCATGGTCTTGTTCAGGTATATACTCCTAAATGTCAAAAATCTCTGAAAATTTTAATGTTAATGTATCTTTTTTTTTTTCCTTCTGTTTTGTCTGGTTCTCGAGTCTCCTTTTCCTCTGCCTTGTAGCTCAGTTGTTTTTTGCTTCGCAGTTTAGCCACCCTACACTCCTCCCTCCACTTGGGACACTCCTGGTCGGAGGAGGAGTGAGGGCCGCCACAAGCTGCGCATTTCTTGTCGGCCGCCGAGCAGTTTGTTTGCTGGTGCCCGGGTGTCCCGGAAGTGGCACAGACCTCCCTAGCTCGGCACTTGCCTGCCAGATGGCCACACCTCTGGCATTTATAACACCTTGTGGGTCTTTTTTCATAAAGTCGTATTGGAATGTTCTCCCATCCCAGCACTACAATGCTTGGTATGTGCTTTGGATAACCGACCAGTGCAGTTATGCTGGTCAGCTTCCGTACTATTGTGAGCTGGACTCCGATCGGCTCGACCAGCTCATCTTTCTCAAGATGGTCTATCTCGGTGTGGGAGATTACTCCCAACACCAAGTTATCCTCTGCATAGGCTTCCACTTGAATCTTAATCCCGTTAATTTTTTAATGTTTGATACTTGCTGAACCTGTCCCCATTTCGCGAAGGTGACCATAAGTCCACCACTCACTGGTCTGCGGACAACCCTTGTCACCCCCTTGATTCCTAAGGAGTCAAAAAACTTCCTTAGGACAAGGAGGTTGCGTTGCTTGGGTAATGGGCATTCGGCTGGATACACTCTCACGACAGCTTTGTACTCATCGAGGGTCACGTAGTACCTCGGGAGCAGAGAAGATCTTGCCTCGCCGAGGTGCAGGTCTGGGTGTTGTGACCTCCTGGTTGGTTGGTGATATGGATAGAAGAGAGCCTTGGCTCTGAGGGTTCAAGAAGGGTACAGTACAAGGTAAAGTTCAGAAGTAGGAAATATAGGAGGAGGTTGACAGCAGGTGGGCTATCCACCTTGCGGAGACGAAGTTTTTTCTTCCGTCAACAGTGCTGCATTAGAGGACTCTTGCGGCTAGGGAAGGCCGGTCTCAGCTAAACTAAGCTAAATTGTTGTATTTGATGCTTGCTGGGGGCATATTATGTTGGGAGGGAGGGGTCCCTCCAGGTCCTTGTGGCACTGGAGGGATGATCCCCATCTATTGGTTAAAACAATGTCTGGTTTTCCCGAGTTACCGGCTGATGCGTAAGTTTCGAAGTCGGGCCCGAGGTGTGTTATTGTCCCTTGTTCGATTAGATCAAGGAAAATTGTTCCTCCTGGGTTTCTGTTATTGTGTCCTAAGGTTGTGAGTTTAGCGTTGAGGTCTCCTATGAAGTATGCTGGATTGTTTTGCCTCATTAGTTTTAAGATATCCCCTGTAGGGAATTTGGCCTTCTGAATGTTAGATATGAAATTGAAATAGTTATTGGGCCTCTTGTTGTATTTATTTTGGCTGTAAGAAATTTACTTTGGAAGTTGTCTATGATTTTGTATTGTATGTTGCGTTTTATAGTTATTGCTATTCCGTCATGTGGTTCGTCATGTATGTCCATTTGGTGTATATGGTAGTTAAAGATCTTGATTTTGTCACTGTTTTTCCGACCCTGTGAGTTGATTAGTATTATGTCCGGGTCCAATGTGCTGTATGCATTTGTTAGCTCTGTTTTCCATATCTGTGTCCAGGCAAGGACATTATTTTGTAAAATCCTTATGTTTCGGTTCTGTGCACTCGCGGATCCCGTGAACTCAGTGCAAATTGCTTGCTGGCTTTTGTCTATCCTGTCGGATATCTCTGCCGTTCCTCTTTTAGGCCTGTTCCTATATTCTTATATATTGTAATGTCGACTTTTTCAATTTTGTTGTATTGGGTGTTGATTCTTCCGCTTCTGATTAGGGTTTCAATGTGTGACTCCTCCACTCTATTGTCCTCAAATGTGTATTTTATGTTGCCTTGTTTTATTTCTTGTGTAAGCTTTTCTTTAGGGATTATCGGTTGAGTTGACGGAGAAAAATCGAATGCCGATATTCTCGCCGTAGTCAGGAATGTTCTGAGGTTTAATTGGTATGATCTGTCTAGTAAGTCCCTGGTATCTATCTCCACTCCTCTCTCTTCATCTTCTTGTTCTGGATTTGATGCTTGTGTTTCAGTTCCTCTCTTGTCCGTTGTTTTTTGGTGCGGTTGCACCTTAGTTTTCATTTTCTATTTCCAGGCTGTTTTCTATTATAATTTTGAATATCTCTGTCGATGGAGCAGTGTCTGGGAAGTTCACATGGGGTACATTGTTTGCAGTGAACATCTTTTTTAGTGGTTTTCCCAAATGTTCCTGGTTTGGCAACGGTGGTGATGTGTGCGTGTATTATTACCGTTAGAATTGTGAATGGGAGGCCTTCGTTAAGTTTAAGGTAGGTGGGTAGGTGGCTTGAGTTGGTTGTACTTATTTTGATTTTTCCATGACCTTTTTTGTTGTGTCCTGAAGTTTTGCTGGCTGCATTGGTCTTGTTTGGGTCTAGTTCTATTTTTTTATTGGCCGTTCTTTTCTCTTTTCGCTTTTTCATTATTTTTCTTTTCTTGTGGGGTACCTGGCTGCCAGTGTCCGGTGATCCCCTTTGCAGTTTAGTCATTTTGGCATATCCTTGTATGTGCAGTCTCTGAATGTATGGCCACATCGCAGGACATTCAGAGCAGTACTTCTTGTCCTTTTCAGGGCAGCTGGCTGAGGTGTGATCGTACTTATAACATGTCCAGTATGGTGTTATTGGGAAAAATTCTTCCTTTTCTGTTTGGTGTTTCGGTATGTGGTCGTGTGATATGCTTATGCCATTTTCCATCTCCATCTGAGCCATGGAGATCTCAGTGAATCTGATCTTCATCATAGTTGATGCACTTGGCATCAACACTACCTCCTCGACTTTTGCTCATGTGTTTCTCTCTTCTATTTCATTTCCTATGTCGCTTGGTTTCTGCGTGATGAATTTGTCCACCCTCTTCATTACGATGGATTTCCTCGCTCTTACTTGGGGTGGTACAACTATTTCAAAGTTCTCCCTTTTCAGTATTTTGACAGCATCTGTGGCGAGCATAAGGTCGACTTTTTTTTTCTTAGCAGATAACTATGTATGAGTCTCTTGCTTCGATGAGGGCCGCGAATTTGATGTTGAGGTGAGCACATAGGATAGTGCCTAGTTCCTTTGCGATTTCCGGATACGCCACCGCGGAGGGAGCGCAACCGAATCCTGTTACTCGTTGTCTTCGTCATGCTTGGGTTGACTTCTTTTACATCCGTCCAGTGGTGGGTCAGGCCACCGTTGCGTGGGGTGAATCTTGTGCCCTACCTCTTCCGGGAGAGCGACCTAACAAGGGAATTTCAGCCACCCACCGCCACTTCATGGTCGAGTGGTCCTAGGGTGGTTCCAATGTCTCTCTCCCAGAAGCCCCGTTAGGGGTAGCCTACTTATAGACGTGAGCTAGTTTACCTATTCCGGGGGGGGGGGGTTGAAGGATTCAGGAATGCGACCCCCTTCCCAGGTGTACCCGCACGATCACGGTTACCCAGGAAGGCTCGGCGGAGGGATAGGTTCTGTTCCTGTTCCCCTTCAGTGTTCATTATCTCCTGGGAACAGCTACAGGGGGGACCCGAAGACGAATATACCTCTGAGGGTGCAGGTCCCCAGGCCAGAGCGAAGAAAAATAAAGATTTAGTAGTAGAGATAGACCCCCAACCACGTCAGGATCGCCACGCTTTAGCTGCCCTCCAGCAGGAGTGTGGGTCACTCACACTGCCCGTGGGGAGGACTAGATAGTGTTGACAATCCTGATCGCTCGTGGGGAATCAAGATCAAATTGTTGTGGATCTCTTCACACCTGTCTCCGAGAATTAGACAAGAGTTGATATTAGAGTTGAACTAGCGACTGGTGAACTCGATTTGCATTTTCGTAGATAACTTTAAAATGGCAATGAGGAAAGAACTAGGAGATGAATTTGAAAGAAGCAGATGAATGAAAATAGTCATCAATTGACTCATTGTCCACCGTGATATAATGCTTCGAGTTATATATGTGTAGGATATACTGTAAGTTCCTCTGGCTATATGACCCTTATGCAGGCGTGAATAATATAAAATATCAGGTATTTGGGACGTTACATGGACAAAAACTCCACAAGCTAAAACACTGGCTTAGATAGTGAGAAAATGGAGCCGTAGAGGGACAGGTACAAGTCACCCTGTGTGAACGACACAGTAATTTATTGCTAATGATGAGGTAGTTGACATCTACACATTATCCACATACTGCACCAAGTACTTAACTACTTGGTGCAGTATGTGCAGCACTTTATTACCATCGTATGTAATGAATCAACCCTGTTATAGCCAATGATAAATAACCTGACCACTGGTATGTGACAGAGATCTCTGAATAGTGTTCATTGTTTTTCTATATTCTTTCTGCACCGCTACACGCAGGATGAGTATGGAAAGAATATAAACTAGTCTCTGCCAGTCAGCAAGCTTAAAATTCCATTAACACCCTACCTCGGTCACCCACAGATCCTTGGAGGGCAGTGCACGTCAGACAACCAGTGCACGGCAGTGACCCCCAACGCGGAGTGCAATGACTCGGTGTGCACCTGTGTCAGTCCATTGACCAACTACTTCAACCTGGCTTGTATACATGGTGAGGCGCTCCCCCACACACTTACTGTCACAGAGAGTGTGTACAGGAGTTAAGGTGATGTAACTCCTCAGAAGTTAGTAAAATATATATATATATATATATATATATATATATATATATATATATATATATATATATATATATATATATATATATATATATATATATATATATATATATATTTCATACATTCATCTCTCTATGACATAAGTATATGCCCAACAAGAATGTATGACTGACCTTGCATGAGCCTATGATTAGCATAAGTGTATGATTAATCTGAGTGTATGACTGACAGGAGTGTATGACTGGCATGAGAGTATGACTGACATAAGTGTATGCATAGTAAGAATGTATGACTGACCTAGCGTGTATTTGGCATGAGTGTATGATTAGCTATATATATATATATATATATATATATATATATATATATATATATATATATATATATATATATATATATATATATATATATATATATATATATATATACATATATATATATATATATATTTTCTCGTCACTTCCTCAAGAGGCCGTGACAGGATCAGCTCGTTAAACAAAACACCGGGTCGAGCCAGGAACACAATATTTAGCACTGCAAGTAAGGCCTGATCTAGCAATTTCATCAAAGGGTCAAACCATAATGAGGTCAATGTATATAAAAAGGATTTCTACCGGTTTGTTAACATTTACGTTTCAGCTAGCAGCAACCCGGGGGTGAGACGGATATCTCACAACCACTAAACAGGGATATTGTAACCGCTAATCGAGAATGTTGAATAGCAGAACGAGAGAAATAATGTAAGAAATTTCGTTTAGGATTTATATATATGTTGCATTTAATTCAGGTTATATTTAGTTAAAGTAATATTTAATAGTTACTTGAATTGAAATTAATTACTCCTGAATAATAATTTTGCGCGATTCTACATTCCTTTGTCTGCGCGCGCATCTTACCAGCTACCGTTGAATGTAAAATTAACCTGCCATCGTCAGTTTCTTAACACTCAGCACCTTCAGTTAAATCCGGCGATCATGGAGGGGTTCACCAACTAAGCTCCACCATTAATTCCTGACCTCCATCTACATCAGCAAACCCTGAGTATCACTTCATATTGTACGATATCCTAACTTTAACTGGGTGTTAAGTTACCTCCGCTAACCTTGCCATCCTTCGATGGTGACTCAACTAAGTGGCTAAGCTTCTGGGAACTTTTTAAGTGTTCAGTACATGATCGTAGAGAGTTAACTAGTAGCCAGAAATTTACAAATTTAAAGGGAAAATTACCTGGAGAGGCGTTGCAATTAATTAGTGGTTTCAGTGTGGTTGAAGCTAGTTTAGCTTCCTGCAATCAAATTATTAACGGATACATAAGGGCAGGAAGATTTAATCAAAGCAGCTCATTTTTCCAACTTCTGTAATATCGCGCGACCAACTTATTGTGTTAGTGAAATTAAATAATTTTTCGCGAATGATAAATGTACAGTGGAATCCATGAGTGCTTTGAACACTACAATGGGCGAGTTATGTACTGTGATCATAAACAATAAGTTACCCTCTGCTTTATCTGAAATAATTAAAAGAGAATTGAAGGATAAATGGTTGATTTAGATGAATTTGTGCACGTATTGAAAGTTGAAATAGCTAACATTGAAACACCAATGCAACACTATGCCTCCACTGCGACTGCTGCCTACACAGTTTATCAAAAACCTAATGTGAATGCAAAGACAAATAATAGTTGTAAATTATGTAATACAGTAAACAAGGACATTTTTGGATGAGATGTACTATGTGACGTCATATGAAAACAAAGAAAAGGCTGGCCTCATGGCCACAATGCTACGAGAGAGGTGTGCGGCCGCTCCCCTACAAGAGAGGTGTTGTGGCTGCAACGCTGCGAGAGAGTTTAAGTGTAGTGATGGTGGGTGGTGTAAGGTATAGTGATGATGGATGGTGTTAAGAATTGTGATGATGGATGGTGTTATATGTAGTGGTGATGGATGGTGTTAAGTATAGTGATGATGGATGGTGTTGTAAGTAGTGATAATGGGTGGTGTTAAGTATAGTGATGATGGATGGTGTTGTAAGTAGTGATAATGGGTGGTGTAAAGTATTGTGATGATGGATGGTGTTAAGTATAGTGATTATGGATGGTGTTAAGTATAGTGATGATTGATGGTGTTAAGTATAGTGATGATGGATGGTGTTAAGTATAGTGATGATGGGTGGTGTTAAGTATAGTGATGATGGATGGTGTTAAGTATAGTGATGATGGATGGTGTTAAGTATAGTGATGATTGATGGTGTTAAGTATAGTGATGATGGATGGTGTTAAGTATAGTGGGATGGATGGTGTTAAGTATAGTGATGATGGGTGGTGTTAAGTATAGTGATGATGGATGGTGTTAAGTATAGTGATGATGGGTGGTGTTAAGTATAGTGATGATGGATGGTGTTAAGTATAGTGATGATGGGTGGTGTTAAGTATAGTGATGATGGATGGTGTTAAGTATAGTGATTATGGATGGTGTTAAGTATAGTGATGATTGATGGTGTTAAGTATAGTGATGATGGATGGTGTTAAGTATAGTGATGATAGATGGTGCTATAGGTAGTGATGATGGATGGTATTATGTATAGTGATGATTGATGGTATTACATGTAGTGATGATGGGTGGTGTTAAGTATAGTGATGATGGGTGGTGTTATATGTAGTGATGATGGGTGGTGTTAAGTATAGTGATGATGGATGGTGTTAAGTATAGTGATGATGGATGGTGTTATATGTAGTGATGTTGGGTGGTGTTAAGTATAGTGATGATGGGTGGTGTTAAGTATAGTGATGATGGGTGGTGCTAAGTATAGTTATGATGGGTGGTGTTAAGTATAGTGATGATGGATGGTGTTAAGTATAGTGATGATGGATGGTGTTATATGTAGTGATGATGGGTGGTGTTAAGTATAGTGATGATGGGTGGTGTTATATGTAGTGATGATGGGTGGTGTTAAGTATGGTGATGATGGATGGTGTTAAGTATAGTGGTGATTGATGGTATTACATGTAGTGATGATGGTATGTATATGTGCACACAGGGCGGTGTAATGCATCTAGTGTGGTAGCATTATGTTAGTGTTAAGGTGTAAGCACTGCTTGCTTCCTCTCGCTTTCAGCTATTGCTACTGGCTAGCCCTCATGTGAATAGGGAAGCAGCCTTGCCTAAGTCTTTCTCTTCCAGTACACAGCCTCTTCGCTATCAGGAAAGTCTTCGAGGTAGTAGATAATGGCGAAAATTACGATGTTATTTACTTAGACTTTAGCAAAGCGTTTGACAGAGTACCACATCAGAGGCTTCTGAGAAAAGGTAAGGCTCATGGTATCGAGGGGAAAGTTTTAAATTGGATAAAATCGTGGCTCACCCATAGAGCACAGAGGGTTAGCGTAGAGGGTGTTAAATCTCAGTGGGGCTGTGTAACCAGTGGGGTTCCCCAGGGGTCAGTACTGGGCCCACTCTTGTTCATAATCTATATAAACGATCTAGATACTGGGATCAGCAGTGACATAAGCAAGTTTGAGGATGACACCAAAATAGGGCGGCAGATTAATTCAGGGCAGAATGCAAATGCACTACAGGAGGATTTACATAAACTGCAGGAGTTGTCAGAGAAATAGCAAATGAAATTCAACACCAGTACGTGCAGCGTACTTAATATTGGTAGAACAAATACCCTGGACTTTGAATGTGGGCATGTATCCGTGCTTACGAACTATTCTGGTAGCTCCAAAGGATGTCATCTGGAAACATGAATTGTACTTCCTTATATTTTCCAAGAAGTGTTTTGACTCTGGTGTTGCCAATGACAAAAGAGGGATGCTTTTCATATTCTATATATAACATCATCCATCATCACTACATATAACACCATCCATCATCACTACAGATCGGTAAAGTAGTTTCCGAGATTCTCGTGCGGACACACAGACAAACAGACAGACTTCTTTGTTTTATAAAGATATGGATCATCACTACATATAACACCACCCATCATCACTACATATAACATCATCCATCATCACTACATATAACACCACCCATCATCACTACATATAACATCATCCATCATCACTACATATAACACCATCCATCATCACTACATATAACACCATCCATCATAACTACATATAACACTACCCATTATCACTACATATAACACCACCCATTATCACTACATATAACACCACCTATCATCACAACATATAACAACATCCATCATCACTTCATATTACATCATCCATCATCACTACAGATCGGTAAAGTAGTTCCCAAGATTCTCGTGCGGACATACATACAAACAGACAGACTTCTTTGTTTTATATATATATATATATATATATATATATATATATATATATATATATATATATATATATATATATATATATATATATATATATATATATATATATATATATATATATATAGATATAGATATAGATAGCAGAAACGCCGCCCTCTGGGCGGCTCTTTCGCTAGGCCATGGTATGAAATATAGTACATTTGACATACCTCGTTAGAATGGACTACCTCCCGAGCTACCTTGTTAGAATGGACAGCCTAGAAAAGTTAGAGATCAAAGAAAAGTAGGCTGTAATGAGAGAGAGAATAAGGATAAAATTAACTATAATATGTGGGATGGGATACGACTTTTCAACCTCTGTGTGGTGTAAGGGATGGAGGTTAAATGCAGAGAAAAGCAAGCTATAATGAAAGAGAACCTCAGTATCAAAATAGCTGTAAATCATGGGAGGGAATACGACTTTTCTACGTGTGTGCGTCGGGGCTGTGTCGGATCTGGTTGGTTGGAGTTTTTTTTAGATCACTACATATAACACCATCCATCATCACTACATATAACATCATCCATCGTCACTACATATAACACCATCCATCATCACTACATATAACACCATCCATCATCACTACATTTCACACCACCCATCATCTCTACATATAACAACATCCATCATCACTAGATATAACACCATCCATCATCACTACATACAACACCATCCATCATCACTACATATAACACCATCCATCATCACTACATATAACACCATCCATCATCACTACATTTGACACCACCCATCATCTCTACATATAACACCATCCATCATCACTACATATAACACCATCCATCATCACTACATATAACACCATCCATCATCACTACATATAACACCATCCATCATCACTACATTTCACACCACCCATCATCTCTACATATAACATCATCCATCATCACTACATTTAACACCATCCATCATCACTACATATAACATCTCTACATATCCATCATCATCACTACATATAACACCATCTATCATCACTACATATAACACCATCCATCATCACTATATTTCACACCACCCATCATCTCTACATATAACATCATCCATCATCACTACATATAACACCATCCATCATCACTACATATAACGACTTCCATCATCACTTCATATAACGACTTCCATCATCACTACATATAACATCATCCATCATCATTACATACAACACCGTCCATCATCATCACTACATATAACACCATCCATCATCACTACATATAACACCATGCATGTGCAGATCGGTATAGTACTTTCCGAGATTGCCGTGCGGACGAACACACAAACAAACACACAGACATACTTCTTTGTTTTATATATATATATATATATATATATATATAATATTTTTTTTTTTTTTTACCTTTACGACAGATTATTGAGATGGGGAAAACATTACTTTACACACTAATATATTTTGATTCTCTTTCTAGTATATTAACTTTGTCACTCCAGTTGAAAGAAAATGTTTTGGCAACAAAATTCTTCACTGTCGAAGGATTTTCGCATCACCGTAGTTGTGGAAATGGAAAAGAGAAACGAACTTCGTTTTTTTTATTCCCTCCCTCTGCAATTTTCACTACCACAGTAAAATATTTTTTACTTGTGTCTTTTATTTAGACTCGGTCGGGTACTTCAAAACGGACCATTTTGTATGTGAGTTAGTTTTCTTTTCAGCTTAATTTACCGCGTTAATTTTCAACAAAAGTATTTGCAAGGATTGATCAATCAAAATGATTATGATTCCATTGAGTAATATGTTTGTTACAAATACCATTTCGAGAACACTCTTGATTATGAAATTAAATGTAACATGAGCTACCACAAATATATTAACCATCTCCTGCCTAACCTCACTCTATTTCTTCAACACATTTATTCTCCCACACCTACCCTACATAACAATTAATATTGAGTCATTTTGACCAAGGACAGCTGACAAAGACATGAAAGGCTTATTTCCAGTAGAGTCCTTATGCCAGCAGCACCTGGTGTTCATAGTGCCAGGGCTAGGCTGATCTATACCTGAATTAAATTTGATCCATATATGACCTGTTCTCTCACTAGTAAATTTCTCCGGCATCAAACTATTAACACGACGTCGGCTCTTCGCTAAGTTAAAAAATAAATCACTAACCCACAGAAAATAAAGTGAGGGAAGTCGACTTGCCACTGAGACTTTGACCATACAAGAGCATCAATACATGTAAATATGTCGGGAGAACGTTCACCTATCGTACCTACAATAAACTTATAATTAAAAGAAACACCAAACACTGTTGATTGGTTGTGTTGGTAAGTTTATCATGGCACGATCGTGTAACAGTCCGACCTGAAATTGTCTACTAGAGATTCGTATATTTTTAGTCAGATTTTAGTTTTAAGGAAATATATAAGACACTTAAGCATTCAGACCTGTGTGTTCTTAATAAAACATTGTCTTCCTCTGTCACATCATCACTATTAAAATCTCTCTCTCTCTCTCTCTCTCTCTCTCTCTCTCTCTCTCTCTCTCTCTCTCTCTCTCTCTCTCTCTCTCTCTCTCTCTCTCTCTCTCTCTCTCTCTCTAATATTTAATTCTCCTTTTTTTATCTTCAGTCTATAGTTCATTTACTCTACGTTTCCTCACCATATTACTTCCACCTACTCTGGCCCCCCACTCCTGTCAACCCGTCCCTCTTTGTGGGGTGACAGTGGTGGCTTTCAGTGCAACTTGTTGGGAAAGTTTAGGTTCACTTATAGACCGATAAAATGGAACCCAACTAAGACTTCCGAAGGGGTACCAAAATATTTCCCCCAGGGGGGCTGGGGAAGGGGCCTGAACCTCAAGGGGGGAGGGGAGCCAAATTTTGAAACCATATATCTTCAGTTCGGATGGTCCGATTAACACCATTCAGGTTTTAGTCGATTGGTGATGCCAGTGGCCGTGGAAATCTGTTATAACCAATTTTTAAATCTCTTTTTTTCTTTGTCCACAGATTTCATCGGGAAGTCGTCGAATCAAGATGGTTAACTTTCACCTTTGTATTTTGTATCAAGAGGTTAAAGAGGAGCCGCTTATAAATCCCTTGAACAACAAGGACAGGGAAACAAGGGACTGTGCTTATAATGGTTGCCCCTCGTGTAACGAGGATGGCCGGCCTAAGGGCCACCTTGGCGTGAATTTGCTTAAGGTGTAGAAGCTGCCGCCAACACAACAACCACACCCTGGGTTAACGAGTTGCATAACCCAGTGTCAAGGAATAGTCCGAGAAGACCGAGAAGATTGCGTTGAATGCACAGTCCATGGCTCGCTATAAGCACAGTTTCTTGCTTCCTTGTCCTTGTTGTTCAAGGGATTTATTAGCCGTTCCTCTTTAACCTTTTGAAAAAAGGTTTCAAAATAGGTTATGTCAGATTTTTAACAAAGTGGCTGCCTATGTTTAAAAAATATATATTCATAATTAAACAAGGCCTCTGGCATCACCTATTAATTATTCAACACCTGAATGATGTTAATCGGAACATCCGTTCTGATGATACAGTACATGGCTTCCAAAAATTTGCCCCCCACCCCCCTCGAGGTTCAGTCCCCGTCCCCAGCCCCCCGGGAGGAAATATTTTTGGTACACCTTCGGAAAAGTCTTAGTTGAGTTCCATTCTATCGGTTTATAAGTGAAATTAAACTTTCCCAATAAGTTGCAATGAAAACCTTTTTCTCCCCTATGCGCGTCACTTCACTATCTCACCAAACGACTCTGGAACTTTCCCTTGCAGTGAGTGGTGAAGGAGCTATTTTGCTACAACGCTCCTCTCTCACCCCACTTCCTTCATTCTCCTTTGCAGCGAGTGTTGTGGGAGCCATGTGTTACAACGATGCTCAGTGCCGTGCCGTCAACAAGTTCAGCTTCTGCAGGTTCGTAGTGTCGGAGGTAGTGGGCACCTGTACCTGCGACCCGGATCAGTTCATTGACACCCACGGCCGCTGTGTTCCAAGGCTAGGTTAGTCTTCCCTTCCCATTCTGCCTTCAACAGTGGCAGGAAGGCAGACAGTTTAAGACCTCACTCTCTCTATGAAGTGCTTACAGGTTTTACACACCCTTTCTGAAGGTTAAAGCTCATTTTGACTTTGGTGAAGATGGTGTTCCTCGGGGCTATTTTCTTGTCTAAGGGCAGTGAACTTTATTGGAACATATTTTAAAGACTGCTGTGCTCCAGTGAACCTCTGGCCATGTTGATGAGAGAACAGCAGGACTCAAGGTTCACAAGACATTATAAGCAAAGGTGATAAAGGGTGCCTCATAAAGTTCGGTAAGTAACACTCTATCCTTAACATATTTTCAACTCCAGATTACATTAAGATTAAGACTTTTTGGCGCCAGCTCAGTCCAACAGTGACTCCTACTACTGCGTCCTCAGTCAGGTAAGTTCACCTCAATATTTCTGTCCTTTCATTAAAAGCCTCACCAGCTCTGCAATCTAAAAGGGAAGTAAAGTTCGAATGGTGGTTGTGTTGCAATGTGGAAACACCTTATCTGAACGACACTGGAATAAAGTAGGCTATATGTAAGACACACACACACACACACACACACACACACACTACTAGTACTTTGCTGTCACTCGGAATAGAGTATGAAGATCATCCACCTATGATACAATGGTATGAGTTATTAAGGATGTGACCTACGTTAGTGTGTTCTGAGGTGACTAAAGAGGCCGATATGGGACCCGCAGGGTCGTTCACAGAAGTTGCACATCTAGGGGGCAGCATCTAGAGCGGGAGGGGCGGCGGCAGCGTTTTTCCAGCGTTGGCGCTTGTCTGCCTCTTTATGCAATCGGGTTAACTCGAAAGTATTGACACCTTGTGTAGTGCTCCTCCAAGCGTTACGGTGTGGATTAATCGTCTCCCAGGTGAGGAGGGTTGATTTGGCAATTTTTCAGGTTTGTCTTAAGACTACTCTTATGCCTTTTCAGTTGCCTGCCAGAGTTACGCTTACTATTCGTTAGATGACTGTAAAGTAGCTCCCTTGTTCTTATAAGTATTGACGATGGAGGCGTCTTTAAAAGCTTGGGGGATTTCTTCCTTTTCCCATATACTCTCCAGGAGAGAGTGGAGACGGCTGGTAAGCAAAGATTCTCCTGCTTTATACATCTCGGCTCGGATTCCATCAGGCCCTGAGGCTTTTTTTATTTTTCATCTGCTTGATGGCAGTAGCTCCCTTATCCAGGGATGAAGGATAGCTAAGGTGGGTTAGCTTTGCGTGCTGAGAAACCTGCTGGGTAGTCAGGACATCCACATCAGTGATTCTGTTGAGCCCCACCATGAGTAATTGGGCCATACAGTGTTTTAGTGGAATTGAAAATGCATGCATCTTGTGTTTATTCGCAAATTTTTGCGTTCCACATGCTTTATTTTTCCACCATCTATTCATTAATTTGCGGAATTCGCGCTTGGTCGCTGCTTTCTACTCGTAGAAGTTATCACATTTGGTCTGAGACTGAGGGCTGTTCTGCCAATTAGTGAAAACAGCACATTTACTTTAAAGGGTATACTTCGATTTCCAGGTCATTTTCATCAATTCAATCCTTGTGTTGTTGTTGTTATTTTCGATCTGTCCGAGGGTCTCGTTGCAGGTTTTTAGGATGATAGTGTCGAGGATACCCCATTTGGTACTGAGATTTAAGTTGTTCGTTGTTGAGTTGTATATCAGCCTATCGTCGAGCTGCTCTCTGAAAGCATGCGCTACCACTATATCCTCCAGTCGCTTGGTGTTAAAATCTCTCTGGAGGCTTGTATCCTATTTGGGGCAACGTGAAGGAAGAGGTAGGCTCTGACGAGCCGATGATATATGTCACAGTGGTCTGACCCATGCACGGCTCGAGTGATAAAAACATCTCGGCAATCTATTTCTCTGACAATGATGTAGCCAATGCGCTGCCAATGTTTGGATCGTGGGTGTTGCCAAAAACCCTTGAAATTGTCGACCTGCCTGAACAAGGTGTTAGTGATAGTGAAGTTGTGTTTAGCACACTTGCTGAGGAGGAGTAGGCCGTTGGGATTACACTTGCCTATTATTTTTCTCCCTATGGTTCCCTGCCATAAGTCAACATCTCTGCCAACTCTGGCATGGAAGTCACCTTGGAGCACAACCTAATCTTCTCTGGGGATAGAGGTTACCATTCCTTCAAGGTCGGCATAAACGGCCTCATTGATGCCATCCTCTGCATCCAGTCTTGGGCGTATGCATTGATGAAGAAGGCATGAAGTGAGTAATTCAGTGGCAATCAGAGCATCATGAGTCACTCGTTGACCCCAACAGACATTTCAGTTAGCCTATGTAGGATGGATTGGCGAATGGCAAAGCCAACTCCATAAATGCGGTTTCTTTCCACAGCAGGCTTACCCTTTCAGAAGAATGTAATAGCCTTTTTGTGAGTTAACTTTCTTCTGGGAACCGGGACTCACTAATGGCTGTTATGTCGATGATATTCCTAGAGAGCTCTTTTGCCACAATGGCGGTTCATCTTTCGGGACCCTCATTTGTGCCGGTATCCAGAAGAGTCCTGACAATCCATACAACGACCATAGGAGGTTGTATAATTTGCTTTTGCTTTGATCTATGATTATGATTATGTTTTCGACCGGATTAGGATGTTTAGGGCACCTTTTCTTGCCCCCTCCCCATGTAGGGTGAGCAGAGTGGCTCCTGGAAAAGGCTTCTTAGTCGCACAGACAGGACCAAATTGCACTGCTGCCTAGATCCCTGTCTATAAACGACCATATTATCTATGGTTCCTATATGCATAGTTGTGACTACAGACTCCTGGTAGTCATCTCTGCCTTTCCACGTCGCCACTCATTGTCCCCATACTTCGTTTCGGGGTTTAGGGGTTTAGATGATCATGAAAAGTATGATAAGCTGGATGGTGACTGCATGTAAGTTGCTTTTTTGTGGTAATGCAGGAGCACAGGCTGCCCCCACATATCTTGGCTCTCCCTATTCCTGATCCAGTGTTGCAAGTAACTGCAACGATTGTGGAGAGGGAGAGTTGAAATGTACTACCAATAGCCCAGGCTGTTTGGTTTCGCCTGAGTAGACTGTCCACCATCTTACATTGTCTTCATCCGCTGGTGTATTTGTTGGGTTCCCTTATTGGTCACCTCCTCAGTCTATTCCATCGTTGGGGTCTTATTGGAGCTCTGTAAGCATGCCTGTGTGATGCAGGTATCCACCGCAGATTTTTTATTTAGGGTTAACTCCCGTTGCCTTATATCTACCAAGGTTAATCCGCAATGCAGAGGGGCAGTGATTGGTAGGTGCCAGAGTGTGTCCACATGCCAGTGAGACTATGCCCCGTCCCTCTGGGGCCCACTGGTGCTCTGAGATCCCTTGCTGGTCTAGCCTGGGGCCCCCCCTAACACCCAGTTACCTTGTGTTGCCACGAGGAACCACGGCAGAAGTCTTGATGTTGAAGAGGCTGTGTATTGGCAGGGGAAGACTTATGCAAGGCTGTTTCCCTGTTCACCACGAGGGTTAGCCAGCGGCTGTAGCTGAAAACGGGAGGAAGCAAACAGTGCCTGTGCCTTATCAGTAACATAATGCAGCCACACTAGACGCTTAGCACCACCCTGTGCACACACACACACACACACACACACACACACACACACACACACACACACACACACACACACACACTGTGGCTGGAGTAAAGCGCGAGACATTGGAGAGGAGAAAGAGTCTTTCACCATTAGTGCATCGGTGCAAGAGACTTCAACACAGGTGAGAGCTATGAGGACGGAAAAATGTGTTTTTCTTCAAGGTAGTTTTGACTTCAACAATACCTGGCCACTGTGGATCTGACCTCTAAGTTACATGATCATTTTAATCTTAGTTTTGTTCTTATTATTGAATGCATTAAATTTTGGAGTAAATGAATCTGGATTTGTCATGAACACTGTTCCTTCTGAAATAATTTACAATTTGCTGATTCAGTAATAAGAAAAACAATGAAAACAATCACAAACTGGTCATAAATTATTTACCTCTAAATGAACCTAATTAGTTTGTTTGGTGTGTGTGTGTGTGTGTGGTTATTGTGGTAGTTATTGTGGTAGAGGAGATAATGGTGGTAGTTATGGTGGTAGAGAAGATGATGATGCTGGTAGAGTTGGCGATGGTGGTGGTAGTTATGATGGTAGAGGTGGTGATGGTGGTAGTTTGGTGGTAGAGGAGTTAATGGTGGTAGTTATGGTGGTAGAGAAGATGATGATGCTGGTAGAGTTGGCGATGGTGGTGGTAGTTATGATGGTAGAGGTGGTGATGGTGGTAATTAGTAAAATTATGGTGGTAGAGGTGGTGATGGTGGTAATTATTTAATTATAGTGGTAGAGGTGGTGATGGTGGTAATTATTAAATTATGGTGGTAGAGGTGGTGATGGTAGTAGTGTCAGGCGTCAGTCAAGTCAAGTGTCACTGTGACAATAACCAGTCAGCGTGTCTGCCTCCCCTCCCTCCCTCCTCCCCCTCTCTACACCTACCCTCTCCCTTTTTCTTCACTGCTGCGCTTTCTCGTCAAGGTCAGTTACACACACAGTTAGATTATCCCCCAGTCAGTCACCATTATATCAGGGTATCAGTTAGTAAAACATTCAGTCAGGCTACCATTCAGCCAGTCTCCCTGTCATACTGTCACTGCCTCCGAAAGTGCGTGTTGTTTTCAGTGGTGTGTGTGTGTAATAATAGTAATAATAATAATAATATTGATAATAATAATAACAATAATAATAATAATAATAATAATAATAATAATAATAATAATAATAATAATAATAATAATAATAATAATAATAATAATAATAATAATAATAATAATAATAATAATAATAATAAACGCTTTATTACTAGAGTTGCAGCCGGTGGCTGAAAATACACCAACTTACATTGATTTAGACATAATAATATACGTTCAATACATTTACAGGTTTGTACAGTACA